ACACACACACACACACACACACACACACTTTTCTTACACTGTTCTGTTTCCTTAATCTTTCCCTCTTGCACTTTTCTCTTTTTGATTTTACACCTAGATATTTTATCATCTTTTCAGCTCATCGCCATTCCAAATCTGGAGAATCAATTAATCATATGCTGGGCCCTAAACAACATCGTTCTACAGACTTGGAGGTATGAGGAAAACTACAGAGTTTAACTATTGTAGGGGTCTTTCTCTGTTTGGGCTTTGGGCATGGCTTCTGCAGCCCCAGCATTTTCTTCCCTGGTTAAGAGACTTGCTTTTGGACTACTGAAATACATACACCTTTCTTTGACACCATGCTCAATAATACTACAGGGAGGTTATTGTGAAACCAGAATCCTGCACATAGGTGATATAAACAAATGTAGACCCCTAATAACACAAAACCAAACTACACAGAAACAACAACATCCCAAACTCACTGCCTCCTTTCAGTTGGTTCCCACTCACAGTGACCCTATGGGTCAGAGTAGAACTGGCCTGTGGGGTTTCCAAGGCTGTCAGTCTTTACAGCAGCAGGCTGCCACAACTCTCTTCTGATTCAAATAGCTGACTTTTCAGTTCGCAGTTGAACATTTAATCATTTTGTTGCTTAGACAGTAGGAGGAATCTTTAATTATTAACCCAGTGTGGATGATTCTGAGGAATTCAAATTCCAGACAAATTGGGGGACCAATTTCTGGCAAAAGTGACACTTTTGTTACAGTAAACCATCAGCATTGAATGGAAACTTAGTTCAAAACTTACCACACAGCAAGAATTCCTGCTATGCATCAGAAAAATCTCTAAGTTGAAAAGTTCTAATAGTCGGGAGCTCACCATACAAATCAGCCTTGCCTTGTTAGATCATTTCAACTATGTTCAAAACAAAACCCTCAGTTCCCACTCCCAACCATCTTGCAATATTCCCGTTTCAACATTCATCCTGTTAAGTCAATTCCATTGCTTCACAATTCTGCTTCAAGTCTTGTTGAACTGCCCATTCACTGCCACCATCTTAATGCCAGTAGTTTGTACCTGAACAATT